GCTTCAATTGTTTTCAGCTGGAAGTTTGGTAGCAGCCAGCAACTGATGTTCCGTCTTGCAGCGATGGCCACTCCTCCACCTCCAGAGCAGGTGTGATCAAGTCTGACGAGCCGGAAGTCAGGAAGGAATACGTTCAGTTCGGGCTTCAGATGCTTCTCGGTGATGATAGCAATGTCGACCTCCTTGGTGTTGAGGAAATCGAGTAGCTCTCTATGCTTGTTCGTCAGTGAGCAAGCGTTCCAATTTGCAATTTTTATAGCTTCACGGTCCATACTTGGTGACGAGTGACAAGGCAGCATGAAGCTGTTCAGATCGAGTCTTGCAGGTACGCATGATGACGAGCGTCACAAGTTCCTCCGAGGTGAACGGAGAATCGTCGAAAGATTCACCTGAGACAGCACCAGCGTATGATAAACCAGGGGCGGTGGATGAACCTGGAATTGGCTGAGCCGCAGCAACAGCGAGACAATGCTGAACTGTCCGGCTGTTGGGAACCATACTCGCAGGATTAGCTTGTTGGTTGTTGAGCGGAAGCGGGGCTAAGTTCGGAACATGTCGACGGGGCTGGAGAGCTGTGTTCTGGACTTCCGTTAGTACAGGAGGCGAACGATGATCACGAAGGCGACCGAGCTGGTTGTTGATTGTGGCCTTCCGACGGATATTAATGAACTCCACTCGCTTGGGACATCCACGATTGGAGGCTTGGTGGTTTCCACCGCAGTTGACACACGTTGGCTCGATGTCATCGACTTGCTCACAGGACGCAGTTCAGTGAGTTCCAGCACACTTGCCGCAGTTTGTCTTCATGTGGCCGTTTTTTTTGCCATGGCCATATGAGAGGCAGTTCATACACTGCGTTACATCACGATGTTGGGGTTTGTAATGCTCCCAACTGATAATGACCTGAAACAGGTCCCGGATTTTGGATCTCAGAGCCGCAAGACTGGTGGATCCCTTAGTGAAATGTACCAGGAACAACTGATCACGGAAGCTGGTGTTTTGGTTGGGACGCCGGTTCATCTGGAACACGGCCTCAGGTTGGAGCCCAAGCCGCTCCAGCTCGGACTTCACCGGCGTGAAAAGCGGGGGAATCCGCTCTCGTCTTGCAATGGGAACGGCGTCACCATCGCCATTTTCTTCCGGGAGTACTGCATACTGGTTGGCTTGCAGTACTCGTTTTCCGGCGTCATCCTGCGACGCGCTGGGCTTGATTAGCACCTTCTTTGAAGGGCCCGCTGCTGGCTCATTGGCACGTTTACGCACCATTTGTTTCGTGTTTGCAAGTTCAATTAAACTTGCCAGAACGCGAGAAGGTGGCGACACTTCCACGGCGCAACGCGACAGCACAAAACGAAACAAAATCGAATCGAGAACTCGACCGAAAATACGGACTGAACAGCTCGACAGTCGAGCAAATAATGATGAAAAAAAAACTCAACGCTACCTCTATTTATGCTAAGAGATAAGCATTGTAAGTCCCTCCTACTTGAAGAATTATGCAATCGAACGGCTTGCTATGCCTCACCCCCATCAGCAAAAAAAAAACTAGGATTTTATAAACCGTTCTATAGCATAATTTTTCAAGTAGGATGAACTTTCATAGCTAATGTAAAAGGATAAATAGAGGTATCGTCTGATAATGTCAGTGCTGTTGGTACAGAAAACTGTTATCTGTGTAGGAAACACCCCGTTTATGCAAAATAATGAATGTGCGTTCACAAAACGCACGAAATTAAAAGAATATATATATAGTATTTATTTTATTCAAACAATAGATTAAAGATGTACCGAGAATTAAATTGAGGGATTTCAAGCTAAAATGTTCTGATCGCGAGATATTGACGATCAATACCGAAATTTCGCCTAAATTTCCAATCCGTTTTGTGTGGTGTGTGCTGATTTTCAGTGTTGCCCAATGATTAGGGAACTTTCATAAATAACGTAGTAGTTGAGGGAAGAGAGGGGTTTCAGAAGTTGGGACCGGCCATGTATTAGGTGTATTGCAAAACACGCTCCGAGGGGGAAGGGGGGTTAATTGGTAAAAAAACGTAATTTATGGATGGCCCTAATTTTACTTCCAAGGCTGTGTCGCGCAATGGGCGAGTTAAATTTAACTCGTGGTTAAAAGTGACAGATAAGTTATCGAATAACCCTGCTGTACGAGCGTGGTTATTTCAGACCGACTAGAAGTTAAATTTAGGTAACCGTGATAACTGTTTGAAAACTGATCAATTTCCGGTAGTTTCGAACATTGAAAATAACTTTCGAAATGTCACGTTTAACCACGAGTTAAATTTAACTCGGCAATCGGTACACAGCCCAAGAAGTATTTCTCGATAACTTATTCGAAGGGACGTATCAGCTTTTGTAAACAACGCATTTGATCGTCGATTTGGCGTAACTGGTAGCTCACTCACGCATGCTAACACTACCATCAGATAGAGGAAATTTTCCCCTACCTTATAGGTTTTAGTATGTGGGGCGAGCTATCAGTTATGCCAAACCGACGATAAAATGCGTTGTTTACAAAGGCTGATATGTCCTTTCGAAAAAGTAATCGAGATTTGTAGTTATCATCCAGGCAAAAAGCGCTTGCACCATCGAGGCGACGCCGCTACCACCAGCCAGTGATCTCGACGGGAACGACGCGCAAAGTTCGAGGTGCGAAACTCGAACGCTGCGCGCTTGACAGGAACCGCCTTCCCACTGTTGCTATAGGCCTTTTTAATGCACGACCAACGTAGAGGGCACCACACGAGCTCGAGGGGAAACGTCAACCAAACCGTTTGTTTACATCAGAAGAAGGATTCTTCACTACGCAAATTAAAGAATTTTCCATTGAACATCTTGCCAGTTTCCATCGGTAATTGTCTTATTTTACGATTTTCTACACATCTGAACTGATTTTTACCTAAACTATTCACACACAAGAAATCCAGAAGAACATAACCACTAAGGCACTATTGGAATTTTGCATTTTTCTCAACAAAAATATTCCTGAACACTAGCAGAATCCTTGCAAAAATGATGCAGGATTAAATTTTTCAACTAGCGGCGCCGGTGGTGCAGTGGTAAGCGTGATTACCTCTCACCCCAGCAGGCCTGAGTTCAATCCCAGTCGGCGCCGCCGGGATGTTCTGATGCATAAAGCCGTTGGTCCCCGGTTCATGAGTTGTCGGGTCGGTAGCATTGGTGATCAGCACGGAAAACAAGATCGACGGAAAACAAATCAACGAAAAAAAAATTTCAACTATAGATCAAGTTTTCGAGCATCTCAGATGAATCAATTTATCAGGAAAAATGAAAAAGTGTTCCGCTTCCAATGTCTCACGGCAAAATTTTCTGCTCACAACACTCTTTTTGCCGTTCTTATATTCACCACCAGAGGTTGAATCGATCGATTAGTTTCTATTAAAAAGGCGTATTGCTACTGTTGCTGCTGTTGCTACCTGGTTACCCACCGTCCGAAGCGAAAATGAGTTGAGGCACTTCAGCAGCGCTGCTTTATAACTTTTCAGATTCAAGCAGCACGATGGGCAACCAAATGCTACTCGATTATCACGACTAGGTTTGGGGAGAACGTTTATTTCATGAAAACAGTGGTACAATTATCACTTTTTATTTGTAAATTTTTCAAACAGTTTTTATTAAAAATATAAAAGCGTTTATTGTAACAACTTACGAGAGTTATTTCCTATCGATTGGTGTATGTGGATTTTAATTTAATCTATAAATGACAAAGTTATAAGCCTTTAAAATCTTACACCTTTTCGGGACGGTTGCACAGATTTTCGATTTACCCCCAGTACCTTCCCGTAATACGTAGTCTACGTCAAAAGGATATCGACTTGTTACCGCTACCTACTTCTCTCCCTTTCGCTCTCAGGACTCACCGATTCGGTGTATTTCTTTGTGTGTTCTACTAGAACTGGAAAATTACGCCTAAGTCACGAATCATTCCAGCAGCCTTGCAGTACCTACCTATTTTTTATTTTTTTTTTCAATTCTCGTTCTCTTCGGCCGATGATGGAGAGAGAGAGAGAGAGAGCAAGAATTTCCGCCAAGCGGAGCTCCAAAGCTATCGCCAAGGACGTATTGTTTGAAGCCCGCTGTGGCGTGGAAGCAATCAAGCCATCTTCAGATAGCCGAGCGCACCCGAATACCCAAAGTCCGCTCCGCTACTCTAGATCTCGCTCAGACCTGAATACACCTTAATTTATCTGTTGAAGTGTGTCAGATTTAAGTGAAAATTCACCAAATGGAACACAGTCTGGCTTGCTGAGCACAACAACAAAAAATCCCCATTTAATTCACCAATTCGTTTTCAGATTCATTCCTGCTCTGAGTTTTTCGCAGTGGCAATGTGGCCGCAGACCAAGCACAAATCTGCCAGGACAAATTTGCTTCGAAGCATGTTTGTCTTGGGACCAAATTTTATTAGACACGTACCATGTGGTACGTAATATTTGCTCTGTACCAACATTGCTGCTGTAGCTGCATTTAGACACAATCACAAACAAACCCACATATGACAAACCAAATTCTGAATATTCCTGACTCGACAATTAAGCACATCAGCATCCCGTCTATTCCTTTTCGCCAAAGAGTTTCATCTCTTCATCCCCATTTCCGATTTCCTTCAACATCCGTCAGATGATGCTCCGAATCATCCAATCGCTTGGAATTCGATTCCGACCGTTGGATTTCGTTTCACTCCTATAATCGCTTCTTCCTCTGCCTCCGTCGATGGAAATCAACCGGATTAATATCTGTCGCTCACCAAGAGCAAAAAAAAACACACAGACAGAGTCTATGAAATGTGATGTATAGACGATATAGACAGTCAGTCAGTCAGTCAGTCAACCGGCAAGGAGTGTAAGCCAACCGGAACGACGGACTGAGAGAGGAATTGAAACCGCCATTTCAGCTATTAAATTATTCATATAAAATGTACCTTGATTAAATTCGTTTTGTCTTTTCTCTCTTTTTTTATCCAATAGCTGCAGCGGCTGCGACAGTTTGTTCCCCTCGCTGATGCTGCTGGAGCACCACAAGGAAGAATTCGAACACTGGAGCGACTTCGAGGACGACGGACGGCTGCCGTGCTGTCGGCGGAACCGTCGGGACGATGACTACACCGATACGGAGACGGGAACCAGCGACGCCGAAAGCGAGGACTTGGAACGGTTGCTGTAAATGGGAGCGCGCGACGGTGTGGGTGGTGATGACAGATGGCATTTTCCGACGAAGGAATTGATTGAAAGGCATAGCTTCGCTTCTGGGGTGGATGAGAATAAAAAAGAATAACCCACCCGATTGTGAGGGGGAGGGGGAGGGTTATTCGGATGTTATTGAATGAAAATTGCTTCAGCTGGAACAATTGATTCGATCGGGGAGTATTTACCTAGGACGATGGCACACAAGTTGAGTGATTAAGGAAATTTGAAAAGATTGGTGCAATGAAAGCTGGTCAAGTAGGTACTCTGGAATTCGGTTCAAATTTTGCGCGGTGTGTTGAATACTGGCTTCAAATTCAAAGAATGTTTTAACCTAAGTATAGGTCAGCGTGTCCTTCCAGTTAAGAGTATGGATATGAGAAAACGTTGTGCAGGGAAATTCTTACCGTAGCTTATCAGAAACCCTAAATGATGTTAGAGACAACAATCAGTTCCTGCCTTGAGGCATACTTGATGATAAGTTTTATCCTATTTAAGTGATTGAGGCACTTAATTAAATTATATTTTTATGGTCCCAAATCCACCGAAATTTCTAATCATAGCAAGCCAAAAAAATCAGGTAACGTTAAAACTCGTATGCGCAGAAGTGGTGCAATAGAACAGGCTAGTCATCTGGTGGGTACCTGGGTACTGCGGTACTGAATCCTCATTTCTCCGGCTCTTATGGGGTGTGATATATGACGGAGAGTCCATTCTAAACAATGATCACCTTAATTTCGCGGATACACTTGCATGACCTACTATGAGCATATTATTATTTGTGAGGAAGAGAGAGGAGACAACTGGCTTCTTTTTGTATGCGACGTGATCTTCTCAGAAACGACAAAACTATTGGCAATCTAACGATAGCATAAAGGGCCACTTGTGGCAAATAGGAGAACTATAAAACTGATGATGGTTCATAATTTTGCACGGCGAGGTATGGGAGAATATTTTTAAAACGCTTTTATTTAACGAATAAAGTATTTTCTATAAATTTGGTTGTGCATACAATGCATAGTGGTTCAGAATGCAGATTTAGGTGGAATGATTTTTTTTAGCCTGAAATTGAAACTTTAGACTAAAAGTCTCTTCTACAAAGTTGTTCCTTATATTTAGGCCCTCATTTTTATGACAATGAATTCTAGGGTGGTTCCTATTATCATTAAAATCAAAAATCTAACTTTTTTGTTTGAATAAATTAAGGTATACATTCTTCGACAAAGTTATAGCTGAGCTGATTTCAAGAAACTTTGTACAAAATAAATGTTTTGTATCTATTATTGGCCGATTTAGAGCTATTTTATTGAATTGAGTTAGGGTGGCTCTAAAAAAAAACAGTTGTTTTGCTCTAGTTTTCTTATTTCGAATTTCTCAGCAAAGGTGTCCTAAATAACTTTTAGATCTTAAGAAGGCGCAAATTTTTGCTGCACAAAGCTTGTCAATATCTTTCGCCGATCAAGAGTTATTGACGTTTTTATACTAAAAATTAGACCTGTGCGCCGATCCAAATATTTTCGTTATGTTATTTTCTGCCGGCGGCGGCGGCGTGGCGGCGTCACGCCGTTTGCTATCGGCGGCGGCGGCGTGGCGGCGTTGGTCGGCGTCAGTTTATTTTTAATGATTTAGAACAAAATACTTTTCAAACCAATCGCACATGGACTAAAAATGCTACCCACACTTGAGTTCAGATTACCCAAAATCGCTAAAACGTAGGCCACTCATAGTATGAGTAAATTTTCCGACACTTTCCCGGGGAAAACTTCTCGGATATAGGGAAAATTTAAGAAAATTGTACACATGTTAGAAGTATACTAGTAGACAGATTAAAACCACAATCAGTTTTCGTAATATTCGAGAAGTTTTCCTCGGAAAAGCGTCGGAAAATTTACTCATTCTATGAGTGACTTACGTTTTTGCGAATTTGAGTAATCTGACCTCAAATATGAGTAACTCTTACTCAATTTTTAACCGTCCTCATTGGCCGTGAATGCGGAATTTGTTTATAAACGTACAGTGGGGGAAATTCGTTTAAACGCAATGTCATTTTTGCGTTTATTTTCAACACAAAAGATCGAGACAAAAAATCAAATATAGTTTGTCATAGCCCATCAGAAGTCTCGTATTTGAGAACACAATTTGATTGGAAGTTCATAATGACTTTTGAAAAAATCCCAAAAAAGTTGATTTTGGGGGGGAAATTCGTTTAAACGCACACTAACGTAAAGCCGCATTGAGCGTACCTATGCTCCTGTTATCTTGCGCATCTGTCATATTTACACTGTATAGCCCTCGTTCGCCATTAACACGAGTTTAAATTTGCGTTGCGCGGTAGTTGTTGCTTGTTTTCGGCAAAATGGGTAAAGGAAAGTATTTAAGCCAGTCGGAGCAAATACTGGTTCGAGAACTCAAAAGTCGCGGTGAGAGCAATCGCAAAATTGCACGTGTGATCCACAGATCGGAAGCAGCAATCAGGAACCTGCTGAAAAAAGGCAAGACGTATGGCGTAAAAAAGAAAACAAAGGGAAATTCGAAGATCACCAACCGTGTCCGAAACCAAATCATACAAATGGGAGACTCTGGAAACTTCTCTGCTGCGCAAATCAAGCAAGAAATGGGGCTTTCCATTTCTAAGAGGCGTGTACGGCAGATTCTACATGGAAGTGGCCACTTAAAGTACACCAAAAAAGCAAAAAAACCCAATCTTCAACCGGCCCACATTAGCGCCAGATTGAATTTCGCTAAAAAATACATGTCTTGGACTACGGAATGGGACAATGTTATTTTTTCTGACGAGAAGAAATTCAATTTGGACGGCCCAGACTGCACCGCATATTATTGGCACGATTTGAGGAAATCTCCGCAGGTTAAGTTGAGCAGGAACTTTGGAGGTGGTACTCTAATGTGTTGGGCCGCTTTTTCGATCCATGGAAAGACCCCTATTGCCACCATTTCAACCAGGATGAATTCGGGAAAGTACTTGGAGCTTCTGGAAGATGTTTTGATCCCGTTTACTGAAGACGTTATGCCGGAAAATTTCGTATTTCAACAGGATAATGCAGCAATTCATGTCAGCAAGCAATCTTTGAAATGATTTTCTGAACGAGACATCAGTCTTTTGGATTGGCCAGCTCGTAGTCCGGATCTAAATCCTATCGAGAACTTGTGGGGCATCCTGGCACGACAGGTTTACAAAGGCGGAAGGCAGTTTAAAACAGTTCGTGAACTTGAGTCAGCCGTAAGAGAAGCCTGGAGCTTGATACGTGATACAACTCTGCAGAAGCTGGTGAAATCAATGCCGAACAGAATTTTCGAAACTATTCAGAAAAACGGAAAGCAAACGAAGTATTAACTATTGTTTATTGTTGATTTTTGAACTGTGAACTCGATTTGATTAATAAAACTAAAAGTGCGTTTAAACGAATTTCCCCCCCAAAATCACCTTTTTTGGGATTTTTTCAAAAGTCATTATGAACTTCCAATCAAATTGTGTTCTCAAATACGAGACTTCTGATGGGCTATGACAAACTATATTTGATTTTTTGTCTCGATATTTTGTGTTGAAAATAAACGCAAAAATGACATTGCGTTTAAACGAATTTCCCCCACTGTATGTCAAGTGCTAGTTAAAATTGGATGGAGTCGTATGGCAAAGTGTTACAACCCTTTTATATATATGAAAATTACGTTATGTAGGGGTGGATAGTATCTAAAAACAATCTGTTGCATTACGTAACATTTTAATGGGCCCTAGGAATTCTTTGATTTATTGAACATTACACGTTATTAATATGTTGATAGCGATAAATTATATGCTTTCATTACTCTGATACATATTTGAATCTACACGCATTGTAGTCTTATAACTTTTTGTTTATGTATTTGAAGATGATGTCTTTCGGATATACGTAGAAACCCGTACAACTTTTTGAGTAGCACACTTTCATCTCAATAAGTTACAGCAACTTGTTTATGACTGAAATAAGTCGTATATAAGTTTCTATAATTGATTTGTTACAAGCGTGCTACTAGGGTTGTAAGAGATTAAAATAAAAGGTCACGTATCAACGTGTTGTTAATAATAGTCACTTATTTACCTTTATGTAAATCAGATCCTCGTCAGTAAGCCACTGCTTACTGCAAAACTCTATTTTTGCAAATGCCGTAATTGTCATGAATGAAGATTGTTTTATCCACATTGGATGCCTGATCGACCCAGCTATGTTAAAAACTCCAGCACTTGGCGTGCTGGTGGCGGGCGAACCAAGGCTGCCAACCAAGGATACTGCAGCTTTCTAATTTTCTAAAAGCATATAATATCTCCATCTACAACGTTGTTCGGGTATGGCGTAATGTACAGGTGAGGCAGAAGGAAACTCTAGTCCACTGTTTCATTCATCCGGTGTTTTCGTCGGATCGAGAGAAAGAAGAGTCAGCCAAGGTTGCAAAGACTCATTTCAGCTAAAATAATGTTTTTCGGAATAATAAAACCAAAAGATGGTATGATGGCATGTATTACTTGTAACTTACAAGAAGAGGTTACAAAGTATGCGTTGGAAACATAAAACCTGTAAATTTTGCTTTCTATGAGTCACAATCAGCGATTTGCTGATCGCTGAGTGAGTGAGTGAGTGAGTGAGTGAGTTTGTGAAAAATCGCTGATTGTGACTCTCATGAAGTGAAATAAACAGGTTTAATATGTCAAACACATTCTTTGCAACCTCTTCTTGTATCCTACCAATTCAAAATTTGATCATGGCATCTAATTATTTCATAATTTAGAAAAACATTGTTTTAGCTGAAATGAGTCTTTGCAACCTTGGAGTCAGCTAGTTTTCTTCTGCCTCACATATAGATCTCGCTCATCGAGACGAAACCACCAAACTGAGATTTTTGACGTTTGATCAGCATACCAAAACACTATCTCGAACAAGTGCGTTCATCCCTGTGTGCTGGATAGAGAAAGTGCGAACAAACATTAAAAAACTAAATGACAATCGCTGCTTCATACACACTCCTTTAAGGTTACTCAAAAATGAGTCAGACGTACTCAGTTTCATAAGGACTGTTCATTAAAGGAAGTGGACACCTGTTTATCAATGGTTTAGGGTTAATAGTACGTTCAGACTACAGTTATTTGACAGCCTGGACAACCTGGACAACCTGGACAGCGTTTAAAACGTAACGAAAAATTGTGAATTTTCGCTCAGTGTGTGCAGTAAATCTACACACTAACTTTAGATTACTGGAGTCAGTAAAATTTTACTGGGTTTTTGAATTGCGGATCGCCCAGTAATCATCACAGAAATAATTTGCATTACCGAACTGTCCGTAAAGTCAATCTGTCAAAAATAACTGTTCATTCAGTAATTGGTTCTAGTTGCGTATACTGGAAAACCCAGTATTTTCTTTTTGTTTATTTCGCTGCAATTTAACTGAGAAGACAGTTATTTGGTTCATTATTATACCGTGTTACCCAGTTATATTAAAAGTAGTGAATGTGCAGTAATAAAAGCATGAATCCTGGTGCAATTCACCGTTTATAATATGCCAATTAATATGACGACTTAATCCCTTGACGTACCCCGGAATAGCGCGTCGACAGTGAAAGCAAACAATACAAACATCCATTTTGTTAATCAAAATTTGTTGGAGATCAAGGAACTGCAAAAAGAGTAAATAATTAGTGTTGGTACCAACGAAATAGGTCTTCAATTTCGCTGTCGAGCTTTCCCAGTTCCGTCATGATATAATTCATGAT